TCAGCCAAACAAATGGTCGTTCTGGCGGTTTTTTTTGAACATGGTGAGCTTGTGTTTGCCCAAACCATCGCCACGGCGATTCGGTCGCCGCAGCACCGTTGCTGGGACGGGTTTCACCAAGCCAAGTTGGTGATTGTGATGATCGGGGAAGGTGCCGGGGGGGGGGGCGGAAAGGGCGGCGAAGTGCTGTGGCTGGGGCAAGAAGGGAGTACCATTACCAGATGGCGAGAGCGACGACGACGACGACAGCGCGCGAGCCGAGACAGCGGCCATCGCAGAGCGCTGAGCAAGAGGAACGCGGATCTGGCGCGAGACGGCGACGGCAGAGGCAGAGGCAGAGGCAGAGGCAGTGGCAGAGGCAGAGGCAGAGGCACCACGCAGCAGCGCGGGCTGCATGGCAATGGAGCGACCAGCCAGCAGCATTGTTGTGTGAATAGAATAGAGAACGAAAGACTGGGGCCCCTCACCCGCCCCCCCCACCCAATGCAATATCATATTCAACAATCATATTCAATCGCAGATCAATAGTGCAGTAGACTACATTGTAATAATCACATCGCGGTCATTTACTCAGTCTTTCTTCCTACTCTGCGACCCCCCTCGCGCTCTACCAATCCCCCTCCACCTTCATCACAAACGAAACCATGAGCTGCTGGGTTGATGTTCCTGCTGGAAGCGACTTTCCCATCCAGAACCTGCCCTACGGTGTCATCTCGACCGCCGACGCTGTGCGTGACTTTGAGCCTTCAAAAATCGCCGTTCTTCCCCTTCTTCCCTTACGAATGATGATGACCCCAACCACCACACCCACAACACTCACCATACAATGTGCATTTTGCCAACTACTCACCCTCTGATACTATGCTGACGCTTGTCTGTCTTGCAACAAACCAGCCGTCTGTGCGCCGCATTGCAGTGGCCATCGGAGCCCATGCGCTCGACCTCGCGGCCACTGCGCACCTCTTCACCGACGCCGCAGTCCAGGCCGCGTTCGCTCAGGTAATGCACTGCGCATGCAATAATCCAGGGTTGTGATGGCGGGGGGGGGGTCGAAGGTCGGATTGTTCAACATGACTGCCCATCCACTGTGAATTCTGAGTACTCGCGCTTGATCACTGAGCACTTCAAAACAAACCCCAACCCCCAAATTGCATTAGCAACACGATTCACTCACGATGAGCATCATTTTTTTTTGATTGTTGACTTGCTTTTGGCAGCCAACCCTCAACCAGTTCATGTCGCTCGGTCGCGCTGCTTGGTCGTCCGCTCGCGCTGAAATCACCGCTTGGCTCACGTCGACCGCATCCGCGCTGCACTCAGACGCTGCGCTGCGTGCTCGTGCGCTGATTCCTCTCGCCCACGTCACCATGCACATGCCCGCTCAGATTGGCGACTACACTGACTTTTACTCGTCCATCGATCATGCTACCAACGTCGGCATCATGTTCCGCGGCCGCGAGAACGCCCTGATGCCCAACTGGTACATGAATTTTGCACGACAATGTCAATAGCTGTTACATCAGGCAGATGATCCGTTCTAACCCCTTGGTGCTGATTTGATCATCGCAGGAAGCACCTCCCCGTCGGCTACCACGGCCGCGCATCCTCGATCGTCGTGTCAGGCACTCCTCTGCGGCGCCCCTGCGGCCAGACGAAGGCCGACGACGAGAAGGCTGTGCCCGTCTACGAGCCCTCGAAGACCCTTGACTTTGAGCTTGAGATGGTACTCTATGCGGCTTTGCACAGTTAACTTTGTAGACACGCACAAAAGGGGAAAAACACACACACACACACACACACACAAAAACCTCACTTCTACTCGTCTTCTCCTTGCAGGCATTCTTCGTTGGCGCTGGCAACAAGCTTGGCGAGCCCATTCCTGCAACTCGCGCTCACGAGCACATTTTCGGCATGGTTCTCATGAACGACTGGAGTGGTATGTTGTTGTTGTCACGCTGTCGTTGAAAACTTTAGGTTCAAAAGTGCCACTCACCCGCGCAACAACTCTCGACCCTCTTTCTCTCTTCCCCCAACTCCCAACACAGCTCGCGATATTCAAAAGTGGGAGTACGTCCCCCTCGGCCCGTTCCTCGGAAAGAACTTTGGCACCACCATCTCGCCATGGGTTGTCACAATGGACGCGCTCGCTCCGTTCGCCGTGCCCAACGCCGTGCAGGACCCCCAGCCGCTCCCTTACCTGCGCCACGACGACGCTTACACCTTCGACATCAAGCTGGAGGTTGCCATCAAGGGCGAAAACATGGCTGCACCCGGTGTCGTGACTCGCTCCAACTTCCGCCACATGTACTGGACCATGAAGCAGCAACTGGCCCACCACTCGGTCAACGGCTGCAACATGCAGCCCGGCGATTTGCTCGCCTCTGGCACCATTAGCGGCCCCGAAGAGTCCTCGTTCGGCTCCATGCTCGAGCTCTCGTGGAAGGGTACCCGCACTATCGACCTTGGCGGCGGCGAGGTCCGCAAGTTCATCAAGGACAACGATGAGGTCATCATCCGTGGCCACTGCGAAGCCAACGGCGTGCGCATTGGCTTTGGCGAGGCGTCTGGCAAGATTCTGCCCGCGACTCCGATGCAGTTCTAAGCTGGAGACGGACTTTTGGTTTGTTTTCTTGCGAAGCGAGTTGCTGGTTTTTTGGTCTCTTTGGTTTTTTGTCTTTGTTGTTTTTGTTGGACTCTCATACACTTGAGGACGCAAGCGGGAATTGATTTTGGTGGTTGATGATCGGATTGGGGATTTTGATGGAGGCAGGGTTCTGGGGGCTAGCAAATGAATCGTTGATGACATCAAGATATCGACACGCTTGGCAAACACACGCTGACAATAACACAAACATATACACAGACATATTCTCACGCACACCAACGCAGAAACACATACACACACACGGTCTGGTCCGAACTTGAAGCCCAAATTACGAGCTATGAGGGAACAGGAGAGAGCAGTGATTGACGAGCATCTTCAGCATGCTGATGGAAAAGTTGACGCCAGATCCGTTGAACAAGGACAGGCCGATCGAACGTGCCAGTGCATCCAACGACATTTTGTTGACATGCCCGTAGGCAATCACCTTGACAAAGAGATGAACGAGGCTTGCAAGCATCTCGCGATTGAGCGTCGGGAGGGCATCGAGAGCGGCGCGCAGCTTGTGCACGCGAATATGCTCTGGTTCCGTGCTGCTCACGATAGCGTTGAACTCGCGCGTCATATTCTTTGGAATGGGAGGCTCGCGTGTCTCGCGCAACCAGAGCTTGAGCAAGCCTGCCACGGTAGACGGGTCGAGCACACTGCGCAAGTCGACGTTGATGCTCGTGTCAAACTGCTGCTTGAGAGCCTTGATTTTGGTGACGTCGCCGGGAACACGGAACAGGCCCTCTTCCTGAAGCCCTTGCTCTTCGAGGTACGCCAAACACTTGGCAAGAATCGGAGGAAGCGGCACCGAGCTCTGATACGGCCCCAGACTCGCCAGATACGACACGTCGTCGGCTTGGTCGCCCTGGGCAGCATACTCGGACTCGCCGCCGCCTGCTTCTTCCGCAAACGTTTCCGCGGGGTCGGCTTCAACAAAGCTGTCCAGTTCATCGAGATCCGGTACCTGCTCTTCCGCTTCAACTGGAGCAAGCAAGTGTCGCTGAGGGCGCTCTTCGGGTTCCCAGCCAAGGCTCATTGATCCCGCCTCGGGCATCTCCTCGGCATCGACATAGGAGCTGGCCAGCGCGACTTTTCGTGGAGCAGGTGCCGGTGCGTTCAAAGCAGCAATTTGGGCCAAGGCGGCCTGGGCGGCTGAAGTCAATGGCGGACCACCGCCGCTGCTGCTGCTGCTGCTGCCGCCAATGCCGCCAGAGCCGCCGGCCTGCAATTGTTTGCGACGCTCCATAATACGCGCCATCGCAGAATTCACTTCAGTGCCAGGCTTGCCATAGTTACCGTACTGGCCAGCAGACGGATTGGCGCCGGCAGCGTTCGGGGAAGGAACGGATCGTGCGGGTGCTGGACGCGAGGATACAGTGTTCAAGCTGGGAGAGCGAGGGATGCCTTTGCTTGTTGCAGCAGCGGACGGCGAGCTGCCACGAGGGGCGACGGATGGAGGGTATCGCCCTGGCGGAGGCTGGCTGGCTTCGTCACCCGCAAACTGATAAGGCTGGGCATAGACAGTGTCTGGAGTTGCGCTGATGCTCTCGCCAATGTTGTTGAGGCTTCCACTGAGATTGGTCCGACGCATTGGGGCGATGGGAGCGCTGGCTGGCCCGTTGTCCACCTCTGCCTCATCGCCCATCTCCTGGTTGGCGTTCCCTTGGTGGGAGACGTCAATCGAGTGCGAGCGACCTGCGGACGGTCGGGATGGAGGAATTGGAGCCGGGCGTGCACCGCGCAGGTCGACAGACGCCTTGCGAGACGAGGGGCCAGAGCTGGGTGGTGACGGCGCAGCTGACGACGCGCCCGAGCTGCTCTCGCTGCTCGGGGAGGAGGACAGCTGCTGGCGAGCAGCCGCCAGGTTAAAGTTACGGGGCAGCGTCGACGGCTTTCGCGAATAGTCAAAGGCGGTGCTCGAAGCGTCCGTCTGCGTGCGGGTCCGCTCTGGCGGCATGGGAGGGCCAGTAGCCGAGGCGACTGGGCTTGGAGCCGCACGTGCACTGCGCGGGGGCGGCATGGGTGCAGGGCCTGCAGAGCTGACGGGCGACGGTGCTGCCGAGCCCGAAGATGCGCTGGTAGGCGCCGGCGATCTCGCCGGCGGCATGCTGTGCTGTGGGGATGAAACGCTGCCAGAGCGCTGAGTTCGCGGAACAGGCGACGGAGCGGCAAGAGCGGTAGCGGCAGCAGGAGGTCGAGCTGGCTCCGACGCTGCTGTTGCTGCTGCTGCTGCTGCTGCGGTGGCAGTGTTACCCTGCGCCTTCCTGGCGATCAGTCGCTGTGCGTCGTCCGAGAATCCAAACTTTTCAAATGCGGGCACAGCAGGAACGACAGAACCGTTGCCGGGACCAAGATTGTGGCGAGTCACGAACGAGACGTACTGCACTGGATCGACCAGCTGTGCAGATTCCAAGATGGTGTCTCGGCGGCTCTGCATGACGCCGATAGTGCTATCATCGATACCGCCATAGCCGTCGAGGGCCATGAGCAGGCGATTCACTGCGTTTTGGTTGATTTGGCACAACTCGTTGATGGCGGCGGGCTGGTGCTCTGACAGCTCACGAGCATGATTGCGAGCGACCTGAACGGCATCTGATACGGCGGTTTCGGCGGCGGCAAGGCGAGTAGCCACAGCCTGCTCGCGGTCTGCCAGACGAGCGTCGCTGATCGTCCATTCCACAGCGCCGCCATTCGCTTGCAAAATTTGGTTTAGAATTTGCTCGTATTCCTTCGCCACGCTGCAACCAGCCAAACATGAAAGAAAAGGTGGGGAGCAGGGATGGGGGAAGGGGGGGGGGAAAGGAGAGGGCGAGTGCAAGAATGTGAGCTCGGTGGGAAGGGTGAAACTGGACCGAATGCAAATTTGAGCTTCTTGCTCACCTTTCGTATTTGGTTTTGGCCCTGCTAATTTCGGCCATCGAGGAAGTCAGCTCGGAGGAGAGGCGGCGGGGCTCTGCGGCAATAACTTTGACCGCTTCTTCCAGCTCGTCGCGATGCACGGACGTCAGTGTTTCAATGACAACTTGCATGGTTTTCTCGACCAAGCCGAGCCGAGAGGTGCCTTCTCGCGCCAAGCTGCTCACCAAGACGTCCCACAGGTCGACGAGTTGGCCTGCAAACGACGGTCGCCGTGCCTCTGCATCGCGTGCGAGCTTTGTGAGTTCACGCGCGTACGACTCGTCGAGCTCTAGTTTCTTTTTCAAGAAGATCTTGAGGTCCTGTCGTCAAGTAGCAGTCGTGAGTGACGATGGTGATTTCAATGTTGCGCAAAACAAGCTCTTCACAAAACTCGGCTCAATGTTGTGCAAAACAAGCTCTTCACAAAACTCAGCTCGTCACTGCCGACTGATGTCGGATGATGATGTTGGTCGGGTTGGGTTGGTTGAAGCACCACTGGTATTGTCGAAGCTGTGGGAAAATTCTGATAGGAAACGACCAAATCGATTTGATTTTTGTTGCGCGTCGCTCCGTTGCTGATGTGCAATTCGTACTCGTTGAGTAATCGAGATCGACCCGTATGTGTGTCGATGTGGACCACAAAGCGTGCGATCGGAAGCCAAGCGGCAGGACAGCGACAGTGGACTGTGGGAACATCATCCAACACGTCCTGGCGCATTCAAACTCGACTCCACTCCAACTCCCCCACCAAAGCACCACAGCACCACAGCACCAAAAGCACCTAAAGCACCAAAAGCAAGCACTTGATGAAAGCCTTGCTGTGTGCACTCGCCAATGCTCGCCATTGCGGTCGGGTTGTGGGTTTCTTCCATTGGAAATTTTTCAACGGAGCCAAGCCAATACTAGTACTACCTTGACTGCCTTGCTCAGGTCGTCTGTGCGATGGAGCACCTTGTCGAGCTGACTCTGACTCTGACTCTGCGCAGTGTGCATCAACGAACGGTATCGAATTGCAAACCAACCACAAAACCCAAAAAAAAAAAAACCAGAAACAATGGGGAAATATAGTCAGTGTTCTACGCAAATCACATCCCACTCTTGCACGATCAGCCGTGGAAGGGGTTTGACACATTTCGCATCAGATGCAACATCCAACGGCGCGATCGCGATCGAAGGGGTGCAGCAGCACGCAGAAATTGCCAAAAATCACAAACCTCAGCCATCAAAACTCCAAATTTTTTTGTTGACTGAACTAACTATCATGGAACTCGACACAAAACTACTGTACTGCACAAACAGGGTCAACTATGAAAGGCTTTTATTGTTTTGGTGTGTGGTTTTTTGTGTTAAAATTGTGTGTGAGAGAGACA